ATCTTAAGTTAAAAATGTTTCAACTCAAGAAGACGATTGTGTTGGAAAAGATCAAAATTGTAATGAAGGAGCTAATGTTTGCCTCACCTCTCAACAATATCAAATTATTGCTGATTTCTTCAAACATGCCACTCAAAATAACACTCAAACACAAGCCAATCAAATTGCATCTGTTTCAACTATTCATTCATCAACAAGTAATATCAATCGTGTATCTAATTTTAATATGAATAAGAATTTCTAAATCCTTGATTTAGAAGCAGCAAATCATATATGCACATCTTTAAATTATTTTACATCTTATAAATGCGTCAACCCCATTCACATAAGTTTGCCTAATGGAAATTCTATCATTGCCAATTATAGTGGAAAAATTACAAAAATTTTGATCATAATTGATGATTTCTGTTGCTATACATGGTTATTACCTCTAACAAATAAATTTGTTGTTCAAAAATTGATTGTTGATTTGTTACTTATACTGAAAACTAATTCAATACCAAATAAAAAATATTAAAACTGACAATGGAGTTAAATTCAATATACATGGAGTTAAAGACATAATTCATCAAACTACCTATGTTGAGACACCTTAACATAATAATGTGTTTGAAAGAAAACACCAACATCTTTTAAATATTATTGCTCCCTTTTATTTTAATCTAATATTCCCTCTATCTTTTGGTATTTTGCTGCTCAATACACAACTTTCCTTATTAATTGTATACCTACACCTATTTTGAATAATAACACTCCTTATAAAAAACTACATGAGAATTTGTGTGATTTGTCATATTTACGTGTTTTAGGATGTCTTTGTTACTCTAACATTCTTTTTCCCACAGAAAAAAGCTGGACTATAGAGTTATTCCTGGAGTCTTTCTCCATTTCAAAACTCACACAAAAGGGTACCTATATTTAAATTTGCATAACCTAGAAGTTTCACCTAATGTTAAATTTTATGAAACCATTTTTTCTATAACACTAGTAAAAATAATGATCCTGCTAGTCTTTCTTTACACGTACCCAGTAACACCACCAATTATGACAACTTTTTTCACAAACCCACTCATAATGACATCATTGATACTGATTTTAATATTACTAATGCTTATATTAACAATGGTTTTACTAACCCCATTAGAAACACTGCTGCTACTAGACCGACCAATGTCACCTCAACCTTTGAAACTGATGAAGCACTTGGTGGATTGAATAATCCCATCTCATCCATTGAGACTATTGAAATCCCTCTTAGAAGGTCCACCTGTACAAGACAAACACCCACTTATCTACAAAACTTTCACACAAACATTACGGTAAGATATTATTTACACAACTTTATTTCATATAATAATTTGTTGTTGATAACAACATTTCGGTCGCACAAAATACTAATAAAAAAATAATAAACAAGTTGCTAAACTAATGCAGTATAGCTAACCCGTGTCGAATCTCACAAGGACACAATTATAGAAACGTACTCATTACCATATATCATTATCTCTAAAATAGTAAATAAAGTATGAATGAAAGAGTGAAAGAGAAGTAAGTTGATCATAATTTAAATAACTGAAATTTATAAAATTAAAATAAAGTACTTTTAATTAAAATTGCAAAAATCAAGAATTGCTTTAAAATAAAATAGTGCAATAATTAAATTTGAAAAAAAAAGATTTGCGTAATAATAAATAGTAAATTAACAAAAATAAAATTTAAATAAAACAATGAGAAAACAATTAATTTCCTGATTCGAATGCAAGTGTCAATTATCCTAGGTTACGAAATTAAATTACTTTAACCCTTATTCCAACCTGAAATTAACCAATTAAGCGAAGATTAACCTAAATTATCCTTATACAATTAAACATTGCATACATCACATAATCTCATCTCTAACACAAGATTAAGCAAACTATGATATTGATTTCGATTTATTAAGCATAAACAGATTATAATTCAACACAACACTAAGATTAGGAAATAAAGAGTTAAGAGAATAAACGAAATAGAAGAACAAAACCTAAAATATCTAATGTATTCTCCTCAGAAAATCAATACAAAGATTTAATTATCTATGGAAAATCGAAACGCAGAAGAAAAGCCATAATTAAAATAAAAAAAGGATGTATTAAAAATAATGACAAAAGAATAAACGAACGTGAATATAAAATGCAGAAGACAAAAATAATCCTAAGTGATGTGCGTCTGTGTGATATGCCTCTGCATGATGTATCTTCTTTTAACCCTAAGTGATAACTAACATAAATAACCCTAAACCCTAATCTTAATCTAGATTTGAGCCCAACTGACCCATAAAACACATCAAGAACAAATAAAACAAAAACTCTAATCCTAATGGACAACTGGCATGACATCTGACACAATCTTCCAAACTCAAAATTGATTTAAATTGTCCTGAAAATAATAATAAGCAAAAATTACATCAAATAGATTCAATTTAATTAAAATCTGAATAACTGGCCCAATGAAGCCCAATTAATAAAAATTCACTAATAACATACAGTTAAGTCCAAAACACTAATTAAAATAACTACAGAAAGATAATAAAATATGGGAATATAATGACTCATCAGTCCTCAAATTTTAAACACACTATCTTGTCCATTTCTAATTTTATCGAGCCACGCAACTACTCAAAGGTTTTTAAGTTTCCCTAATGGATAAAAGCTATGGATGATGAGCTATAAGCCTTAAATACCAGCCATACTTGGATCTTCACAAACCTTCCTCGTGACAAAACAGTTACAGGTTGCAGATGGATCTATAAAATAAAACACAAGTCTGATGACACAGTTGAACGCTTCAAGGCTCGTCTAGTTGCTAAGGGATAAATCAAATTGGAAGGTTTGGATTATCTGGACACGTTTGCCCCTTACCAAGCTTACCACCCTTTGTTTATTACTTGCTATTGCCGCTTCAAACAACTTGACGATAATGATGCTTTCCTCATGGTGATCTCCATGAAGAAGTGTACATGCAACCTCCACCTGGTTTGTCTACCCCTAGTCCCGATAAAGTTTGCAAGCTACAATGCTCTTTATACGACCTCAAACAAGTTGGAAGATTGTGGTATGCGAAACTTCCTTCCTTCCTTATTTCTCACCATTATACTTGTTATTCATCTGATCATTCTCTTTTCCTTAAACATGAAAATTCTCACATTACTGCCCTTCATGTTTATGTTGATAATATTGTCTTAAAGGGGACCAACAAGACTGAAATCAACAACATCATCGTGTTGCTTGACCAACAATTTCATATCAAGAACCTTGGAAACCTTACTTATTTCTTAGGCCTTGAAGTTGCCAAAAGTTCAACTGGTATTCATCTCAACCAACAAAAATATGTCCTTGACCTTTTACATGAAACCAACATGACAGACCCATGCCCACTCATATGGTACATTCTTCGCGTACCAATTCCATTAAAGATAACATACCCCTTAATGAAGAATATGCTTCCTCCTTTTGTCGTTTAATTTATCTCATTAACACCAGACCAAATATCACCTTCTCTGTCAATCATTTCAGCCAATTTGTCTCTTGTCCTACTACTTCTCACTAACAAATCACCAATCACATTCTCCACTACCTCAAAAATCATCTCAAAAACGATCTCCTCTTTAAATTTCACATAAAACCCCAACTGAGGGTTTAAGATGCCTCTTTGGTGATTCTCTTATCTTATGGAAGTTCAAAAAGCAACAAACAGTGTTCAAAAGTTTTGTAGAAGCTGAGTATCAAACCCTTACCTTTACTACTTGCGAGATCTCGTGGATTACATATATTTTACACAAATTTTGTAACCCTTTCACAAATCCAACAATTATCTATTGTGACAATTAATCTATCATTCACATTACTTCCAACTAGGTCTTTCATGAACAAACAAAACACCTGAAGATTGATTGTTACATTGTTCGGGACAAAATCAACAAAAAGATCGTTATGCTCCTTCCAATTTCTTTAGTTGTAAATTATTCATTCTCTATCACAACGCCACTTATTAGCTTAAAGCATGACATTTATTTGGTCTTTTGCCCTAGAGTTGTTTCTTTTTTTTTTACTCTATATGATGGGTCTTCTCTTTATACATAAATAAACATTATTCTCTTTTTCAATTAACAAAATTTTCGTTATCACTTGTTTTCTTTCTATTTTTTTTATGCTTATCACATTTTTTTAAGTTTATTTTTCTTCTTTATAAATTTTTCTAGTAATCTGGTTATTGATGATTTTCATCATTGAAAATGTTTACTGGTAATTTCATGAATCTCTATATTTAGCTCTGAGTTTAGAAATTGTTAATATAAATTGATAACAAAGTTATATCTTTGAATTGACATCACTTAATTTAGGTCAAATATTTATTTAAATGAATCGAGTACGATTATATATTTCTAACATCTAATTTACTAATATATTTCAGATTTATAACTTTTTGTTAATTTATTAAAATTTAACTTTTATTAATTATATTCTTACAACACAACATAAACTATGCTTTTAATATCATATAATTTGAAAATAAAAATAATTACAATATATAAATAGAGAGTAGATAAATATGAAGGATATAATAATCAATATGATTTAAAAAAAAAACTAAATTAATTAATAATATATAATTAAAAAAATTATTTTGTTATTTTATCAATTATAATGATAAATTTAATGGACTATTAAATGACTAAATTAGTGTCTCTAAATTAAATTGGCAACTGCGTCAGATTCACTGTAGAGTCTTAAATTTCCGTTAATCTAAACTAACTCTATCTAGCAGGTTACACTTTAATTAAACTCAAAATTTTGTTTTATTTTATTGTAAGAAAAATAGGAAAGAAAAGGAATAAAAAAAGGGACAGAAAAGAAAAAAAAAAGTTTTTTTAATAATAAAAAAAATGTGACGAGGGTTTGAAAATTGCGTCCTTGGGCATCAAAGCCTTTTTTTCCCCTGGAACTTTTATTTGCAATTTAATGGCCCTAAGGCCCTTCCATTACAACTTCTCGCGCGATAGATTGCTCCTTCTCCTCCGCTCTTCTCTTTCTCATTCCTTTCCCTCTCGTCCTCTCCGCTCCCCCAACTCCCCCCTAACTTTTCCATCCGCTTTCTCCTTCCGCCACTTCGCCGCCGCCCCTCTTGCTCGCTCTCCGCCGCCGCCGCCACTCGACGCCATGGCGCAGAAGTTTGGAAAGTCCACGCGCCGCCCCGGCGCCTCCTCCAAGGCCAGGGTTTACGCCGATGTGAACGTTGTTCGCCCTAAAGAATATTGGGACTACGAGTCCCTCAACGTCCAGTGGGGGTAACAGATTCTCCTTCCACTACTTGTTTTCCCTTATATGTTCAAATTCCTGAAACCTTCCTTTTTTTGTCTTTATTTTATTTTATTTTGGATAATATGAATTGTTTAAATTGATTTTGTAAAGTGAAAGGGAATTTAGGGTTTTTTATTGGTTTGGCCTCTTTTCCCAGGGAGCAAGACGATTACGAGGTGGTGAGAAAGGTTGGTAGGGGGAAATACAGTGAGGTTTTCGAAGGCGTTCACTGCACAGATGGTGAGAAATGTATCATCAAGATCCTGAAACCCGTGAAGAAGAAGAAGGTGAGTTACGTGTTGGCGTTGAGGTTTTATTCTTTGTGAACTTTTGGATTTCCTTCCTATATGCTTTTGGTTGTGGTTACTTTTCAATTTGAGTTTAGTGAATGAATGTGTTGTTGCATGTGCTATAATAATCATCAGCAAGTCATGTTCTTGGTTGAGGTGGTTGGTGATATATTGTTGGGGGAAGCATACAATAAACAATTGGTATGCATATTTTGTTTTAAGTTGAAACGCTTCACCTGGCATAGGTATCATGTTGCTTATTTTATTATATTATTTTGTGTGTGTGGGAAGGGAGACTTTGGTTTTTTCATTTTTCTGGGGTTCAGGTAAATATTAATCTCTTGTAAAAGGATGTGTAGAAATTCATGTTTAGGCAGGATAACAGAAATGTCAGTCACATCCCAAGCGAAAGTGGCTACAGATCTTATACTCAATTGTATCTTTGGGGTTTTGTTTTTATTTTTTCTAAAACATGCTCTCCTCCCCCTCTTCATTTGCTCTGTTCTGATCCACTTAGAAATCTTTATTCGTTCATGTCTCCATTCAATTTTTGTACTGTACTGTGTTGTGTTCTTCACACTCACCCACTTGTTTATATTAATTCCACCATCTTTTATTTATTGTGATCATTATGTGTATAGTATGACTTTTGATCTTTAATTATGCATGACATATGCGTTGATTGCTCTACACACCTTTTGGGATTGAGACTTTAATACTACTCCCGGAATTAAAATTGACCAAAAGTATCATAAACTCGATAAAAAAAATTAGCATACTGAAATTCAAACTCAAAAGCGTAGCAGCATAATCTTTTGAAAATTTTGATAATGTGGGTGAAGGGTCTGTATGGAAGATGAGCTATATTTCCTTGATCACCAAAGGCATTAAAAAGATGCTGCATAGGAATGGCAAAGGTTATAAACCTTTCAAGAAGAACTTCAAGGGAAAGACAAAAGTTAGTTTGTGTGAATTATATTATGTGAATGTCATGCAAGTGGCACATAGTGCTACAGAATAGTTATAGTTACTTCCTTCCATTTGGTTACTTGGATTAAAATTTCTGTAGTAGCTGGGGCTGTTTAGTTGTTTATTTCTTTAAAGTATAATATTTGCCACCCGTCTTCTGGTTATACACATGTAACATTGACAATGCTGATGGTTCTGATTGCAGATCAAGAGGGAAATCAAAATATTACAGAATCTTTGTGGAGGGCCTAATATCGTAAAGTTGCTTGACATTGTTAGAGACCAGCAGTCGAAAACCCCAAGTCTTATATTTGAATATGTCAATAACACTGATTTTAAAGTGCTCTATCCTACATTGTCAGACTATGATATACGATATTACATTTATGAACTTCTGAAGGCAAGTTTTATGCTGTATTGTTTATTAATGAAGAAAATGAACTTTCCACAGCATTATTCTTTTGCTTTTACATTTTTTTTTCTGTCAATATACTGTGTTGGACCAAAGATATTCTTGATGCTTCATAAAAAAAGGTTGAATGTTAATAATTTCTGTGATCTTATTGTTGAATAAGATTTTGTAATAAAGATTAAAGTCATTTGCTATACTGATTTGGTGAATACTTTTTGTCTTCGGTTTATTAGATGAACTATATGCATAATGGTTGATATTTTAGGCTTGATGTTGGAGGAAGTTTTTGCATCATATAAGGGACTTATGGAACTAAACTGCACCATAGTTTCTCATGATGCATTACATAACACCTTGGCTTGATTGTACAATAACAGTTTCTGAACCAGTTCTTTCTATCAAATTGTGTCTTGAGTTTAAGAATGCATCCTCATTCAGTATGACTTTCATCTGGTCAGCAGCAGCATTTTGTCCTGTGAGATAATGCAGTTTGCTTTCTATGTCAGAAGGTCCCTTGTTATTGTTCTTCAACCATTGTTTATTTTTTTTGCAATAGCATATCTTTGTGGTGTTGTGTTGCAACTTTCTTCTGCTTCAAAAGAACCTGTTGTGGAGCAGCTTTTTCGTGTCATGCTCATTGCAGCACTAACATTGGGAAATTGCAGATATCTCCCCAGCTATTCTTCCTTGTTGAAAAGCCCTAATGCTATGCCTTCTAATTTCTGATCCCCTTTTTTATTAATCTGAACAGAAACCCAAATTTCCCCTTCTTCATTTGCTCTGCCCAACAGTAACAAATCTAGACTTTCTCCTGTCGGACAAAGACCCATCTTTGTTTGCCAGATAACTCTTTTGGTGATTTTATCAATGTTTTAGTGAACCTGTGATCCATAAAGAAATGGCTTTGTCACTCAGTCTCGGGGAACTACACCAAGCTTTTCGTTCTTTTGTTTAGTTCCTTTATCTTTTTGTTTAGTTCAATATTAACTTTTGAACTTTAATTATGAATATCACTTTAATACCAGATGCATTTTGTCAGCTTTTCAACGCATGTGTGCACTCGCATGCATATGTAGAAAATGGAACAAGTTACTCTCAGACTTATTTCTCACCCAACATTGTTTCCTCCTAACCTAATGGTTTTAATGAGTAAGTGACATTTAACTTTTAAGAGAAAATTAAGGGTGAGGATGTGGAATAACTCTTTTAGGGTTACTTTTCAATTAACTTCATCCCTCTTCTCTCTCTCTCTCTCTCTCTATATATATATATATATATATATATATAGATATAGATATATATAAATGTGCGCAATATAATTAATGTTATGTGTATCTTAAAACTTCAACATAGTGTAATTCACTACCTGCTATCTATTGATTTTGGTGTTGGTTGCTTCGAGCTGCCATTTGGAATTGACTATTATGTCTTAAACCTTTCTTGAACTCAGAAGCTTTTTGTTTTGGTGATGTATTGTATGGTGTTATTGATACTTTATTTACTTCAATGAAGATAATCTTCAATGGAGAATTCACATGTCACTTGATTATGTGTGTGCCGTTTTACTGAAGTAACAAACTTTATAGTCTTGCCTTAAAAGTTTAAATTACAAATACTTCTCTCAAAAGATAATGTATGTGCATCTATATGCCAATGTGTCGTGTAGGTTTCTTTATTGGCGTATTACTTAACACTTCCCCTTAAATGGTGTCTGTATTGTCACTACTGTGTTACTCTGTTCTGTTTGTGACCTATAATTTGCATTATATTATTTTATCAATCCAACCATCTACAATTGTTTGTGGTAATCAACATGGAAAACTAAGTTATTTGGAATTTCTGCCAGGCACTGGATTATTGCCATTCACAAGGAATCATGCATCGGGATGTGAAACCACATAATGTAATGATTGATCATGAGCAGCGTAAACTTCGCCTTATAGATTGGGGCCTTGCAGAGTTCTATCACCCTGGAAAAGAGTATAATGTTCGTGTGGCTTCAAGGTACATTTGCTCTATTCTATTTTTTGGTTGGGTGGATGTTAATATGAGGATTCATAGTTGTGGTGGACCTTGATATGTAGCCCAGTAGGGGATCCATGAGGAGAGGAAAGTGGTTATAGTGTGTATCATGGGGTTTGAACATGTGCGTTCTTGTTGCATGCTGCTCAGCTCAACCAACTAAACCATCATAGGGGTGTGGCGCTTATGCTTTTTTGTTGCTTTTTCAAATGGTTCTTACATTCACAAAGTAATTACCCAGGCTTCATTTCCCTACTTGTTCCTCTCTGGACTAGATTTCCTTTTGGTCATTGTAATTACTCCTTCCATTTGCCTTTAGGCTTGGTCATATATATACTTAACTAAACCCATGAATGCAAAATTTTAAGTGAGAAAGTTATGTGGACTTTCTTTGTGTTTAAAATGATCATTTTTAGCCTAATTTGTTTATAGCTAAAAGTATGGTTGTGAACCTTAAAATGTTAGTGACAAATTCAATAAATAAGCTGGCAAATTATGAATAAATATTTCCCTGCATGAACATCTTTAAGTCATTGGGTAAGGATAAATTTGTTGTACTTCAGAACAGGTGAGGTGTCATTTGCTTGTCTTGTTTTTGGTAAAAAAGGAAGTTTATTATGGTTACTTGACAGTTTTTATGCTCATTTGTTATCTATCACAAACTTTTTTTATCTCCTTTAAGCTTTGATTTACTGGTGTAGATATTTCAAAGGTCCTGAGCTTCTTGTCGATCTTCAAGACTATGATTACTCTCTAGATTTGTGGAGTCTTGGCTGTATGTTTGCTGGGATGGTAAATGGTGCACTTTCCTGCAAATGAAATTTTATATTATTCAGTGTGTAGAGTCTTCCTTTTTGAGATAAAACTTAGCTACTGCATAATTGATCAATTTCTCGTATTAAAGTCGCACAGATTGAAATATCCCCTCCTGCTTGCCTCAGGCTTTTTTTTTTTTTTTTTTTTACTTTTTACAGATATTTCGTAAGGAGCCATTCTTTTATGGACATGATAACTATGATCAACTGGTCAAAATAGCCAAGGTAAGCCTGGGATGTTGATTTGAGTTTGTGTCAGATTATTATGGTATGTCTGTTTGGTTGACTAACTCATTGCTGCTTTGCTCCTGCCCTGTTGAATTATTTTTTGTAATTATACATTTCATACTGGGTACATTTGGTGTTGCAAGCTTGCATTGTTCTTGAATATTGTGTTTTTTTTTTCCTTTCCTGGTTATTGATTTGTGTGTACTTGAGTTTATCCTACTTAGTGGTTGGTTGTTGGAAACTAATATTTAATGTAACCCAAGGATACCAACCCATATTTGTTTCAAATATTTCATTTTTCAAAAATACCATGATTTGATGCAAGGATATCCATATCGCTGACTGCCAAAATCACTCAAATACTTTATGAAAACACTATAATACGAGTCTTGATGTCAACCTGTTAGAGCAGCTTATTTCCTGCTTAAAGTTGGGCATCTTGTCCTGCGTCTGCACCAGATTGTTCACTCAACCATGCTTTGTTTCTCGGGCTTTTTCCTAGTCACTTTTGCCTCCAGCCTTTGTGTGAAAGCCATGCAGCCTCTTCCCATTGACAGAACCCAACTAGGCCACTGCCATTCTATTAATTTTTGGCCTATTCTTTGTCCATTCCAAGTCTCAGCTTATATGTTTCCTTGATTTGAGCAGCAGGTCTGGTAACCCCAGACTATTGAAGTGTACCAGTGGTGTGATTGGCACCTGTTTGTGTAGTTCTTTTGTTCATTTACCTTATTCCTTGGTGACATCAATCAACTTATTTTTGTTCTCCTTGGTGACATCAATCACCTCTGTGAAACATAATAACAAGTGTTACCTTAATTGTCATTCAACAGTTGAGGTTTGGGTCCTTGGCAATTGTTACCTTTGGCAAAAACTTAATAACAAATGATTTTACCAAGAAGACCGAAGATATGGGTGCTTCTCAGGAATGGTAGACAAGTAGCTATCAACTGCCATCCCTTATTTTACTATCTGTTGAATCTCTTGGCCTATTACTGTTTGGACAAATCCTTCCATGAGAAATGAAGCTGGAAATACGCCAGTGGCAATTGGTGCCTCTATGACCCATTACACATCTTTCCAACCCATCAAATGCATGATATTAATTTCTTTCTATTTAACAGCTCCATCAACCAGTCAGCAAATTAAGATAATCTTATTAGTTACAACCATAATAAAATATTGGAGAAATTAGACCAAGATGCTTATAGCATTTCTTCTGCATGACTTCACTAAGGATTTTAAGAATCTTTGAAATCAAGTTGTTACATGTCAAAACATTCTGAGTGGATGGACTTGTATACTGCAATGCTCCTACGACTTTAAGCAAATCGGACACACACAAGGTGTTCTCTACATGGTGTTCTCAAAGTATTCCACTATGCTAAAAAACAAGTTCACTACCAAATGAGTACAAAATATCCTCCAAAATTTAGCGGTTATAATTTTTTAGCCAAATTTGGTAATCTATCATCAAAATTTGTGCTTCATCACCTTTGCTAATGGTTCTAAGGTTTACATTTATCAAATTTATTGTCTACCATCCTTAACTATAGAATCATCTTTAGACTTCCTATAGCTACAAAATATAAACACGACCCAAAATGACATCAAAGGACACTCTTATAACGAAGGCTTTTTGAATGTAATAGTTGCTTACTCAACTTTTTGTGAATACGTGCATAAAAAGAAGGGATAAGTCATAAGGACTTTGTAGGGAAACAATAACCACCTTGAACTGGAAGGGAAAATGTAATAACGTATGAGTAGTTATTCCTTCCGTAAGATAGTCTAAGTTAGTATTTTATTAGAATACTCACCAAAAGGGGCTCCATGTCGTTGATAGCCTTCTCATGCGGCTTTATCTGACAAATAACTCTATTATCCTTAAAAATGTGAAGTATCCTAGTGCACCCAAGCCATTAACATCGCTAATTACTATGACTTTCTGACTTGAATCCCCAATACAGTTCCCAAAATCATTTTACTACTATAAACAACTTAACACAAAAAGGGAAAATTGATATCTCGTTTTTCAAACCCAATGACCTTGAAGTATGATATTATCAAATTTGCAACACACTAATAATTAAAGAAATTTTTAAAATAACAATTATTCAAGAATAGTCAAAATAAAAAACCCCATAATGATTATCGACAACTCATTGCTTTGTAGGACTTGCTAAAACCCCTTTTCATAAATTCCTATAAAAGCAACCAAGGTAGAAACCAACAACTCTTTAGAGCACCAATCCTAACCCAAAAATTTCACCAAAAGCACTTGGGAAAGTAAACGGGGAAGCTTTGCTTTAGAGGGTAACATTTTCTTAATGAAATGGGTGAAATTTGTGAATTTAAGAAAAAGATGGCAGAGAAAGAGGGAGGGACATGGCTCTTGAAAATAGAGAGAGAAGATGAAAGTGAGACAAGAATAAAAAAGACAAAGGCTTACCCTATTCAAAATTGAAAAAATGATGCATTTCAATCTTTCCTCCTTGAAGAAAAATCATCCTTGAATTTCAAATCATTACTAACCTTGGGTTTCAAACAAGTGTCAATATTTATGATGCATGGTTACTTTAGGTTTCCAACTCGTCTCCTCTCTTGATGGTCCTTGCAATAACACCTTTACTAAAGAAATACCCTTAAGAGTGTAAATGTCACACATGTTTACCTATTATGGCTATTGGCTACTCAACAAAAGATAAATTCTCATCTAATTGTATCTCCATGGTGTAACTCATGAGAGAGGTAGTAGAGACATGACAAATTGGATGTACTCTTGAGATATTTGGAGAAAGTGCAGAATGATAAGCTACATGTCCAACCTTCTCCATAATCTCAAATGGCCCAATAAACCTAAGCCTCATCTTGTCATTCTTGCTAAATCATAACACCTCATTCATTAGAGGAACATGAAAAATTCATGATCTACAACATTAAAGTCTAACTAGCAATACCTTTTATCCGAGTAAGACTTTTGTCTCTTTTGAGTTGTGACCAACCTATCTCGAATCAATTTAACCTTATCAATTGCATTTTGAATTAAATTTGAACTCACTAAGCTTGAATCTCCAATTTCAAACCAACCTATTAGCGATCTACACAACATACTTGTTAAGGTTCCAACATAAAACCAATTGGCAATATGTGGAGTAGCCTAACATGTATTTAAACCATACCAAATGACATGAGGTAGGCGATGTGGGACTTTCAACACGCCCCCTCCAACGAAGCCTGCCGGACCAGACAAATGGTACTTTTGACCCAACTAAAGGGCAACTTTTGGCCCAAGACAACAACTGGAAAGATGTTAGGCTTTGACTCTGATACCATGTTAAGGTTCCAACATAAAACCAATTGACTATATGTGGAGTAGCCTAACATGTATTTAAACCATACCAAATGACATGAGGTAGGCGATGTGGGACTTTCAACAATACCTTATAGAGCATCAAATTGCATTTGAATACTAGATTGATAAAATATCGGTGGTATAAGTAAATTCTATGAGGTAGATATTGATCCCAACTCCCTTTTAGATCTATAATGTAAACATGAAGCTTATCTTATAATATTTGTATACTGCTTTCAAATTTTTCATCAATTTGAGGATGAAAAGTTGTACTGAGATTCAAAACAAGTTCTCAAAGCATCTTTACAAGACCTGCAAAATTAAGGAGTAAATTGAGTGTCACAATTTGAGATAATGGACACTAGAGCACCATGGGAAGAGACAATCTCATCTAGATGAAGCTTCACATGTTGTCACAACCTTCTAAGGTTCAAGGCAAACCTTGTCACAAAATCCACAAAAAAATACCTTCCCATTTCATTTTAGGTATCTAAATAAATAGGTTGAAGCAACCTTATGGCTTTCTATGCTCTACCTTTACCTACTCTCATAACAAACACTTTGAAACAAACTCTACTACATCTTGGTTCATTCCTTTCCATCATTCAATTATTGGAAGTTTATACATCTTAGTAGAACTTGGAAGAGTATAAAAAGAATGATGAGTTTCTTGCAATACTTTCCTCCTCAAATCATCCCATTATAAACACATAATTGAGATTCATACCATAAGGCACCTTCACAATCATTTGAAATCTTTTAAACTTTGCCATTTAGAATATTTACCAACAAGCTTTGTCATATGAGAGTTTTGATTTGAAGCCTTTTTTATATCCTCAATGAAGATGAAACAAATTCGACATGCACCAACAAGTCACTCAATTAAGCTACCTCAATTTGAACACCACTTTTAATAAGTTCTTGGAACTCTTTAACTATAGGTATTTTCTCTCCTTCTATGTGTGCAAGACTAGCCATGGATTTTCTACACAAAACATCCACATTTACATTTGCCTTCCTTGGATATATAAGATTGGATAATCATAATCCTTCAAGAGCTCTATTGATCACCTTTGTCTCAAGTTGAAATCTCATTGCTAACGCTAGAAAATATACTTAATTGGTGCCCACAATATCTGTGTTAGAGTTTTTATGTGGATGACATAGTTATTACAAGGAATGATTTTCATAAAATTTATTTACCTATGTTTTAGATTACTGACGCTAGAAAATATACTTAAGTGGTGCCCACAATATGGTGTTTAGAATTGTAGATGTGGATGACATAGTTATTACAAGGAACGATGCTGAAACTTATCTACCTATGTTTTAGATTACTTAATTCTATATATGGATGATATGGTTATAATAAAGAATTAGGGGTGTCAAAATAGACTTAGTCTGATGGGTTGGTCCAAAAATTTCAAGAAATAGGTTAGGCTAGACAAAATTTGTTTGTTTAAATTGAATCATTTATATTTTTAGCCCGACCCATTTTGACTATAACTTACATGGGTTTAGACCATGTTAGCTCGTAGGCATATGGGTTCATCCATTATATAGAATAATAATGACATTTTATTAAAAAATATATATGTATTATAAATTAATATGAAAAGGGATTCACTTATTATAAGAGTAAATATATAAAGAGTAAGTTTCTAATAACAACTTATTTCAATATTTAATAGTTAAGATTAATTATTATTTTAGATAAATAAGTCACTAAAAAATAAATGATGATAATGAATAAGAAATTTTTAACTTTTATTTTCAGGTTGAATAGATCAATTTTCTTATAATTTATTTATTAAGTTGCTATATCTTAAATAAAAATTATTTTATTAATATAATTTACATTTTAAAAAAATTAATTAATTGTTTTGGGATAAATATGTTAATATTTTATTTAATTAGGTCAAAATTGATTTGTTGATCTGTTGGTCCAGACGCAAGAAGATATAAAAGACTTGTTTGAAAACTTATCTATCTCATTATTACTAGACCTAACATATCTTTTGCTATTGGAGTTAGTTAGTTTGTGTAAACAACTCATTTTGATCCCATACATGTTCTTCGCATTCTAATATACCTTAAGAAGACTCTAGGACAAGATTATTGTGATGTCGATTAGACAAGTATTGCGTGTGCTACTATTTGGTATTATGGTTTCATTAGAAGTAATTTATTTCTTGAAAGATCAAGAAACATAATGTGGCTGCTCTAACTAGTGTTGAAGTTGAGTTTATAAGCAATTCCTCTTAGAGTCATAGTGATTGAAAATTCCTTCTCCTTCCACCAAGAAAAACCGCTGAAATTTCCTACACATGAGCACCCAAAAGTTATCAAAATTCGATATATGATATTAACAAATGAAAATTTGATATATTCTATTTTTAAACCCAATAATCTTTATATATGATATTAACAAATTTCCAAAACAACATATATTCAAACTCAAATAAAATAAATTTCTCAATTATCTATCATTCAAGAATGGTCTTAATAAATTGGAAGATGTATTCTACCAAATTTAAATAACTAATTAATTTAAAATAGCAAGTAGACCAAATTAAAAAATTATAAAAGTAAGAGGCCATAACGATTATGGCCAATTTACAAATTTGTAGGACTGGTTGCATCTCCTGTTCATCAATTCCTATAGAAGCCACCAAGGTAGAAACAACTAACAACTCTTAAGTAACCTTCAAGAGATGGGTATCCTTCTCCTTTAGAGTACCAGTCCTAATCCAAAAATTTCACCCAAAGCACTCGAGAAAGGAAATGGGGAAATTTTGCGTGAGGGTACAATTTTCTTTATGAAATATAGTTTAATGGGTGTGATTTGTGAATTAAAGAAGAAAAAATTGAGAAAGATGGAGGGACATGGTTGTCAACAATTAGCTCTTTGTGATGGCTAAATTGCCAGAGGAGAGATGCCCCTCCTATTTTGCTGAGTGCCATGTTGGAAATGGAATATGCCTCCTTCCTTTTCCTTCTTGGTGCCTAATTTTTTTGTTACGATCTTTGCAGAGCCTTTTTTTATTTAATTCTTATCAAGGCCTAAGAAATAGCAAAAGTTGTCTATGCTTAGCTCATGGCTGCAACATGGTGTAGAAGCAACTTAAAAGAGATAATGGAGAATTTGATTTATAATCTTTTCCTCCTCCTCTTGCAATAGGTACTTGGGACAGATGAATTAAGTGCATATTTGGATAAGTATCGAATAGAGTTGGACCCACATCTTGCAGCACTTATTGGGAGGTTTGTTTCTGTGCTTTCATACTTTAATTTATGTTGTTTTTTTTATATAAAGTTATGGTTTTAACCAAGGGGGCACTCCAAATATTTTAACAGGCATAGCCGTAAGCCATGGGCAAAGTTCATTAATGTAGACAATCATCACTTGGCTGTTCCTGAGGTTTTATGCATTGTAATTATTTTTTAAAATGTAATATTGTCATAGATCATCATTCTAAATTTATACTATTTTTTTAAAAGGCTGTTGACTTTGTTGACAAGTTATTACGCTATGATCACCAAGAACGTCCCACCGCAAAAGAAGCCATGGTAAGAACTTGATCTTTTAAGTATTGTTTTAGTTATTACTGCCTTATTGTTATTCCAGATATGTTGGCCCTAGAATGGACTTGCATTTGGGACTTCAGGAAAAAATATGTTGGGAAATCCCTGTTATTTGATGGTTCTATATTATTTCTGGTTCTTGTTAAGTTATCCTACCTTCATAGTTGGTTATAATTCTTAGTGCCCTAGATGATTTTAGTTAGGATCTGGATTTTGGGTAACGAGTGCTTTAATAATGAGTCTTCATTGAAAACTTTAGAATTTAATATATCAGGAACTGTTAACAAAACTATTTTTTTGACAAATGTGTTGCCGTTTTGCTCAAATTGTCTAGTTAGCCCTTCCTAGCATCCAAATATTTGGTTATATGAACATTTGTAAAATATTTGAAAAACAAAATATTGATTGCTATGCAGGCCCATCCATACTTCAATCCAGTTAGAAATGCAGAAAGTAGCAGAACACGTACACACTGAGTTGCTGCTGGTCGTTGAGATATTGTGTCTGTTCTTGGCAGGGGGGGGAGGGGCTCCGACAGATGTCTGAACTGTTATTTCTGGTTGAACTTGCTTTCAGGAGGTTCTGTCCCTGTTCTGTTGTAAAACTCGGTTTCATTAGCTCTTTACTTAACCTTTTTGATTTATGATTTCAAATTATTTTTTGGGTGGAAAATTCAGCTCTCAAAATTTTATTTGATTGTGTGCCAAATTTGGAAATGAAATCTCGATTCAATTTCAGTAAAATTATACGCATGTGTTTATTATACAATATAAACTCGAATTTTAACCAGGTTGTATTTAAAGCCATTCCATTTAACCTGTTGAAAACTGTAGTCGTAATGGGGAGAATGCTGGTATGTTCAGAGCTGGCAAAATAGTATGGTATGGTGGCCGGCGGCTCCAATAGGCTGTAAACTGGACTAAGTTTGAAATAGATTAAGTTAGGCCTCTGGATGTAAGAATAGTAGGGATAGCAGGCCCGTTTTGGCCCGTTCGCCTTTGGCCTGTCGAAAGCGGGGCGGGCTGACCCGTTATAGTCATGACGAGTTGTAGATCTTGGTCCGTCCAGATCAAGGGCAGGTTAGTTGTCATAATTTAGAAAAAAATAATTTATTTTTTAAAATAATTTTTTTAATAAATTTAATAATAAGATTATTATTTGTTTGTTAATAATTTTATATATATATATTATTTCAATTTAATAATATAAATTAATATATTATTTTAAGAAATTATAATTTAGAATAATAATAAAATTTATATAATAATAACATATATATATATATATATATATATATATAACGTTAAAATTTAATATTTTTTATATTGAAAAATTTAAATATCTATATTTTTTTATTTGATAAAATTTCACATTATTTTTGGTTGAGTAATTTTTACACATTTAATTTAAGTCATATGGATAAAAATAATAGTGTTTAAGATGAACAAGAAGAATATTTCTTGTGAGAGTGAAGTTTTTTTAATTCTCTTTTTAAAATTTTTAACTTTATATATTATTTATATAATTAATTTTATTATAATAAAAAATTATTTTTTTACTAATTAGGTGGGAGCGGGTTTGGCGGGACGGGCCAAAAGCAAGCTGGGGTTAAAAACACCAACCCGCCTCGCCATATTATGGCGGGTTGGCTCATCGAGACTCGATCTGTTTTGCCATCCCTAAAAAATAGAGCTTAGATTGATCAGTCTATTTTATAATTTTGAAATAATTAGTAAATAAATAACTAGTGATTTTTTTATTTTCTTTTAAATTGGATTCAAATGGTTAGTCTGATATAGGTTAAATTAAATTAATTTTCTTTTTTTTCATCCATTTAAAATAAATTGGATTGGGATTACATAATTTTTCATTTGATTCATTGAATTCGATCATCAATTCTAGGTATGTTTTGGTGGAATGAGAGAAAATAGTGAGCAAAGGAGTATGGAACTAATGTTTCTGTTTGTGGTTTGGTTGGAACGATTCTTATTTTCATAAATTGATAAATATTTTGTAATAGAAAATTCTTAAATAAAAACATGTTAAGTAATTTTGTTATAAGAGTATTATTATATTTATATTTTATTTCTTTTTTATAGTTTTATATTTCAAATTTTGAATCTAAATGAAACACGTTTTAGAAAAAAATGGATGGAAAAATCTAAAATATCCTAGATGATTTAATTTTCTTTATCGGTTTTTAGTTATTATTTTGGTCTGCTTGGGTTTTAAATGCTACTATGTCTAACCTCTTATTGTTAGGTAGAGGTAGGATATGAAAAGGCTAAGTGAAAAGCAAAATATAAATTATTCTGTTGAAGAGAAATAAAATGAATGTTAACTTTTTAATATTAATTGATTTTTAAAAATAAATCAGTATTATTATTGCAAAAATGCATTATGTGAGAGGAGAAACCATAATTGATGACGGGAATAAGGAGAAGAGAATAATTAATCATATCTTTCTTAGTATAAATGATTGATGATAGTTTCATATAATTAATTGTGATGACAAAATATCATCTAATATGGTAATTGGTTTTTAGAGTTATGCAGAACATAAGATACATGAGTCGGCGGCTTTTGAAAATTCATTACACTTTCACACCATTTATCTCATTTAATATGATTTTTTTTTTAATTCAATGATTTGTTTGCATTTAACTCGTGTTGTTATCCATGTTTGGATTTCTTTATGTGACGATTTTTTAGAATGTTAAAACATACAAGCTGAACAAAGTTTTTAAAGGGGGTGTAGTTAATTAGAATAACAAATGCTTTTTAAAAATAAAAATCGTCTTATCCATTAATATTTTTAAATAATTTTTTTTATGGTATTCAGACTATTTTGAATTTTTTTAGAAGACAGTAGAATTTGGTAGTATCTAATAAGAGTTTTTTTTTCATAATTTATAAAAAGTCTTATAGTATTAAATAATATACAAATTTATACATTATTTTATAGAGTGGATTTTGATAGATTTTATGTAAAAAATTATTAATTTTCTGAAACTTTTTCTATGGGTTGTTAGATTTTTTGTTCAAAGAGTTACTGTTAGTATAATATTTGTATTTTTTTTTATTATTATACATATCTTTAGAATTCAAGAAGTAGATTCATTTCGATCTACACTATGATTATATGTGGAGAAATTTAAGAAGATAAGAAGTTACAATCACTTATACTGGAACATTTGTGATCATGCAACTGCGGATAATGACAACATTTGATCCTGTAATTGTGCATTGTGGTGCCAAAAGTGTCATTGTGTTTATATATCGTTTTCTCCACAAACGCTGGTACTTATTTGCATATCCTCAATTCTTGTTTTGATCCACATAACCGAAAGTATGTTCCAATTGTTGTTTACGTTCGAAAGTTGAAGCTTCTTACGCAACTCAATTAGGGCTTTCCATTTCAATCTAATCCTTTTTTCCGCAAATGCGCTACAACAGATACTCCACCTTCTTTATGCAAAAAGTGGACACCATGGATAGGTTTTATTCACTCTCTCACTAAACTATAATCTTTCATTTCTTTTAACACATGAATGTTCATTTTGTGTATATTTGAATGGGAGAAGTAATTTTTTTTCAGTATTAGTCTAAGATTTTAATGGGTACACTAAGACTAAGAGTGTAAAATTTACACTATCATTCAATCACAACAATTATTGTTATCGATTTTAAGATAACTGTTTTAAAAATTAATAAACTTACCACATATGTTGATTTGTAATTGGATAATAAACGTTTTCAGTAACTAAAAATGTGTTTTCCTGAAAACTCGCAAGAATTTTTGGTTATTGAAGACACAGATTAGGGTTGATTGATAAATTCGTTACAGAGTAGAAATGGTAAAATTTGAACCATTTTTCTTATGATTATTGTATTATATGCTATAATAAAAGCATTGTTATATATATATTTTTATTATTTATATTTTCTTTTTCTTTTTTACCCTTTATATTATATAATTATTTTTTCAATTTTTTTAGCTATTTAAAAAATAATCATATTTATAATATTTTTGTAACATTATTTAAAATCATATAAAAAAAGGATATACTTTTGTATATCTACTTTTAGTATAAGTTTTGTAGTTAGATAATTTTATCTTTGATTAAAAATAATAATTGTACGACATTTTTACTCAAAAGTATTCACAATCTTTAAAAATTATCCACATTTTAAAAATCAAATTATATTTTATTTTTCTGAAATGATGTCAAATGATATTCACAGTTCCTCTAGTTTCAAATAAAACCCCATCATGATACTTTTAATATTATAATATAATTTTTAAATAGCATAATTTATTTTTTTGGTTTTTAAATAAACATAATAAATATCTACTTAATATCACCATAGGGTGAGCTCAAAACAAATAAGTGGATTTTCCTTTATTATAAACAATAAACAAAAGTGAACAAACTAACTTAATTTTTTCATAGTGAGCAAGCCACTGTCGATTCGCTCTTACGCTGATCGCTTTCAAAGAGAATCAAAAGATTGGGATCATATAAATAAACTGATGATTTTTTTTGTTTTGGCATCTTAGAATAAAATAAAATGCAACCCTTTCTAAAGGGATGAGTGTAATTCTGAACACTCAAATGATAAAGATGTCCACTTGAATAGAGAGAGTCATAGGTTCTCATTTTTTGTTGGATCCATGTGGCCTCACACATAGTTTACCCAAATTGTTTCCTTGGCACATCTTCCAAACACTCATTGTATTTGTCCATGGTTATTAACATCTTATTGTCTTCCCACTTATCCACCATGTCCCTTTATTTTGAAAGGGTCTTTTTCTCCCTCTGGATTATCCTGCTACACAACACCACTCTTCTTAACCATACATAGTCTTCAAAACTAATCATTAGATCATACATGTTTTCTACCCACTTTATATTGCTCGAAAAGAGCGTGCGAGCATTCTCCATCACTAAGGATGTGCAGGTGAAGTGTCACAAAGTAACTGGAGACAAAGCTAAGACATAAATCCAGGAATCTTCGTGTTTATGGCACATTTGGCATATAATCCAATATCATGGAACAACTCTGTGGGCTCCATCTAACTCCCATCATAAATATATGCATTACAATCTATTGTTTTTTAGGATTTGATTTCCTCTTTTATAATCAAACAAACATCAAAATGGCTGGCTGTTGATAATAAAAGTAGTATCATATTCATAAGGGTTATATTTCATTGCATAAATAACATTTTCTCTTGACAAAGATCATGATAACAAAACAAAAACTATTTTCTATTATCGTGTTCAAGCAATTCACGTAGAATTAAATATGAAGCAACATGTGCATATGATGATCAACCACTAAACTTTTTGAACTTTACCCCCTCTTTTAAAATGGCGACATTTCGAGTTTAGCCACTAAGTGATTAGAAACTTGGAGAAGAGAAAAAGATGCGTAGTATATTGTAACGTGCAATTGTAGTCCCACCAAAAGA